ATAGCCAGACTAACGATACCGATGAACCTGTTGCCTCCATGTTAACCGTTCAAGCTATTACAATTCAATTTATTCTTGCTGATTCTTCCTCACAGGTATTACCTAAATGTAATTTTGGCCAAAATTATTTAAAAAAATAAGCTGCCTGAGATGGGGAACGTGAGCTCCATTTCAATAGGCCTACATGTCCACTAGACATAGCCTTTTAAAATATTTCAAAGAAAATTTATTTAACGTGTTCATCTTTGTGTGAAATTTCGTTCTGAGACGACGTTGACGTATAAGAAGTGCGGCAATTTGTAAAACACCATGTTCTTATAGTTCGATTCAGGCAGACAAATCCTATTAAGGCGCAGATTATTCAACGTAAGAACTTATAAGAGCAAGTTCAGTCGACATTTCGATTAGACCTAGATTCTTAACTTCACTACAATCGGAATCTCCTGTCTACTAGGCCAAGTGCTTGTCTGTGTCGCAGAGAGACCTCCACTTCTGTTTCGGCCGGTGTATTTCCCATTCTGAAAGAGACTTTTATCTCTCTTAAAACAGAAAATCTAACGTCTCGGTCGAAAGGTTAAGTCTTCTGCTTCGTCTTTGAGATATCCAGGATTCGAATCTCAGCCACAAGATAGGCAATCCTGATCGAGATTTTTCCTGATTCCCCTTCGATAACAACCTCCAGGCAAATAGGTTGACAGTATCCTATAATAGATTGTTGCTTCGACACTATTTTCAATTTATTAATTGTAAACTGACATTGACATTTCGGTATTAAATCTGTTTGTTAAAGTTTGCAATGTTGTACATAACTTCCTGTCCACTTCTAAATAAGTATGTGTCAGTTTTACCATTTTAAATTCGCAGCTATCATCTTATACTATACTATTAACTCTCATCTTTGATATCCCAAGTTTTATTAATTTGAAATGATAAGTTAAATTCAATTTATGTCGTTGACGGAACGTTATAAAATATCCAATTAAATCAGTTAATTAAAAACACTGGGATATTTGGAACTGGCCTTTTACTGGAACGTTAACACTTTAAAGCGTAATGTGAACATGTTCTACCACCTGCTCTAACAGCAAGTAACACTGCCTTTTGCTTATAATGTGTATTTTTCGGTTACGCATAATTTTAGAGTAAACAGCGATTATTTATTTTAAGAGAATTACCATGGTAAATTGATCTTTTTAATGACTGTGGCTTGAGTTTTCTTTGAGGTAAGGACTGTGTTGAAGAAAGTATTTGCTGCCTTTTACCACATCCTTCCCAATGCATCAATTACCATGTTACCGGTTCCCAATAGATCTAAACGTATAGAATGTTTGTTTGTGTTATTTTCCTGAAGAAATGGAACCTACTCTTTACTAGATAAAAGACTATGAAAGACTGTGGAAGGAAGCGGTCGTGGCCTAATATAAGGTGCTATCATGGAATTTTCCTGAGAGGTCTGGGAAAACCACGAAAAACGTCAGTCAGGATAGTCGGTATTTGTACATAGATTTACCAAGGACCTCCCTAATACGAAGCAGCAGTGCTAAACACAATATTTTGTGCAGCGATGAGGGAAGAATCGATCGTCTAAATAAATTACTATCTATTCTTGGTTTGGAGCGACCGAATAAGACCAAGACAAGAAACCACTTGGATAATCTGTTCTCTGCAGGAATTCAAAGTTGGAACCTAGTAGGTCTAAATGCGAGTGGAAAGCATTACCGCTAAGCTAAACTATTTGGTTACGTAACTGTCTGACAGAAAGAACACTGTAATGCTCACAAAATTTAAAGATTATAATAAATCGGTCTAAGGCTGAGTTTATTAAATACGCCCTACCTTTTTTCTTTTTCGTCAAATAGGTACTATTCAGTCCCTGACATTTATGTGCAAAGATGAAGATCCAATCTCAGGTTTTCAAGTAATATTCTTAAAGATAAATAGGTTTATTACGCCTACTACGAACCGACAATTAACTTCAGAAGAAGGAAGTTGAATTTGCGGTTTTAACTGTGGTGATTCTGAAAATAGCTGTCTTCTGGGTTTTTGCCCCGTGTGGTGCTATGAGAACGCCCTAATGATGGAGGCAGCAAGGACCTCTGAAATGTTGGTAAGCTTCTATCAGACTACACGGCGCAATAACCCAGAAGACAGCCTTCTTGAACAAGGACTCTGTATTTTGAAAGTTGGCTACTGAGCTAGTCCGACATGACCTTCATACCAATTGCGTGAGTAACACGGTGAGGCGTACGTATACAGACTAAAATAAAATACAGTGGAAATATCGTATGTGATTTAGTATTCAGCGTGATTTATTGCAGCATTTGTTTTGAACTAAAATGCGACGTTTTCATGTCCATTTAAATACGCGTCATGTTTAATAGACCTATAAGCTATATCAATATTACAATTTTGTAGAATAAATAATGATATGTCGGTATAGTCACTGCACATAGGCCAGAGCGACATTTGACGCGCAAGACTATGAAAATGTAGATAATACGATGGATAAACGATCAACAGATTTCCCGGAGGACTCGTTACAGGGACTGTCGGCCTATCAGTCTTAGTGTTTATTTAATGACTGTCGTGTCGTAACACGCAGACCAGACACGTCATGATAACTTACAGGCTACTCAGTTGAAAGAGTTCAACATAGCCGGACCAGGTAAAGGCTTCTGACCACGGAGGACGCTGGAGGCTATGAGACGGTTAACAGACTCTTTTGAAACGATTTACCTGAAGACAATTAAACGTATGCATAGGGAAATGAAGTTAGACAACATGGCTGCTCACTTTATTAATCTCGACACTACAGAAGAAGACGTTTGATTACCTTTACATCTGGTAGCTATATACCTCGGGAAAAACCTGGGTTTATCTGAACGTCGTGGCAAAGAGAAAAATTCCGCAATGCCGCAAATAGACACCCGGTTGTCCAGTCCGTGGTCTAGACACTACACTGAGCTGTCCTATTCTGTTGAATTCTAGCTTGATTCACGAGTTATTTGGCGGTAGTCCATTTTAATAACTTTCCCAGCAAATGTGTTACTGACTGCAGAATAAGTGACAGTAGGTTTGTTAACAGCGCTATATGCCTCTCAACAGCAGTGGTTATTTAATGTCAAAGAATACAGTCGATGTCAAGAAAAATTATATTTAATTCTATTACGCACACCGAGAATTTTATCAATTTTACCTTTATTGAAGCCATGATAGGGACTAGGTTTGGTTACTATTTAGACGTGTTTTAAATTTCCAATTTTTATCTTGTTGCTAGAATGATAATTAAGGAAAATTATTTTTTTAAAATTTAATAACGGTCTGCCTGAAAGCGACTTCGAGATAGTACGATTACACTAGGCCTATCACTATAGTTACTCGAGAAGAACAAACAGAACCGAAGCGAACAGAGTTTTCGAAGCACGTAGGCTGCCGGTAGAGTTGACACGCGAACCAGTGCTAATGTGCTTACGAAATCAGGAAAAGCTCCGTAACACGCGACAAGAGCCCATGAATAAAATACAAAGGACAAAGCAACACGCAGAGAAGCCTCGTCTACAACGGCTCCTGTCTGTATTCTCTAGTTTTAATTGTTCATTTTGTGTCGCATATTTAACGACACCTATTAAATTCGAACGAATGTGTCGCTTAGACAATTATTCCTACGCGTATAGTTCTGTAACGTTTCATAGGCTCTTGCATGCCTACAGCTGTGAATAGTTTGAAATGAATCAACAAATACTACAATAATGATAAGGATCTGGTTAGATGTGTCAGGGAAGTGATTGGCTACGATCCGGGTTCAGTTCCCTCTAGGGGTACGGATTTTGCTTCGCGGCCCCGCCTAGGTCAGCTGTGCGTCTCACCTAGGTTCGAATTCAGTTATTGGTATCAAGGTCTATTTCCCCGGACATAAAGCGACCGGAGCGTCAAGCTGACCTCTCCCAAACTAGATCAGAGGTGAATAATGAGTGGAGCTTTACATTCAATCCTCCGTACGCGCTCAAATCGCGATGCTCAACAAGAAGGAACATTTTTTCCTGCAGGAACTGAACTAAATTAAATTTATTAATAAAGTCTTCTCGGGCTATCAGCCGTGTTAGATGGTGATTAATCACCGACGTTTCGAAGACCATCTCTGTCCTCATTTTCAAGGCTGTTTACTGTGTGGCTAGTAGCGCTAGATAGCCCGAGAAGATTTTATTAATGAAAGCCGCAGTGAAAGCTTCACATCATATAAATCCAATTTCTTATTTATTTACATGCTGACGTAATAGTCAAAAAGCCGGTTACAAATTATGCGCGAGTTAAAGAGAAAAAAAGAGAAGAAACAGACATAACAGATAAATACAAACAAACAGAAAACAACAACAACAAGAAAAATGATTTGCTGTAAACTTTGTAATTTGTGAGGTTTAGTAGGCACGTTTAAGACATGCAGGTTACTTACGAATAAAGAATCTTGTAAAATGTGAGCAGAATATCTCTGAACCTCTGCTAGTTCAAATACTCTCTTGGCTTTCGTATGTGGAAGCCGACGCAAACTATAAAATTCAGAATCAGAGACATCGGTTTTTGGCTTTTGTACTTTTCGTTTTTGGTCTAATTCAAAGAATTTCATTCATGTTACAAATTACATACATAAATCCAGGACTTAATTTCCTTACAGCGTAAAATAACGAACGGCTAGCCAACGATCTGAATGGTCTAAATTTGAAATTTCAACTATATTTTGACGGTAAACAACCGTTCATACCCGTATTTTGATTACAACTTCATATCGGCTTAAAATAAAAGCCATATTGTATAGGAATATTTGTTCTTATTGACTGAGTTTAAATAAAGCTTAGGAAATTGAACAACCGTGGAAATACATCAGACACAGAGAGTTTCAAGGATTTCAGAACGTAAAGGTAAATACATTCATATCACTCCATTTCCGTGATGAGTAGGCCTAATTATTCGTATCCTTCAGTAAAAGGTCCAATTCTGTTCAACTCCTATGACGTGCAAGTACCAGAGGATGCAGCCCCTAGTAGCACTTGGAGAGGCCGACGGGATGTGGAAGGAAAATAATTGTTTTTCTCTCGGACGGCAAAATCCCAGATAATTGGACAACTAATATTTTGCTTGAGAGTTCTACATATTGCCTTTATGCCTACTCTGTGCATTAGGCCCAATAGAGAACGGCTTAATTAACTTTTTATTCCTTACTCATAACATTTTAACCTACAGTCGTGATTGATAACTTAGCACCCTTACTTCATATTTGGGAGCCCCGATTTTGATTCTTGCTTCTCAGTGTTTTCCTTGTTCTTCTCAGTTTCTCCATTTAAACACTAAGATAATAACTTAAAATTAAATAAGTACCTTTCATTTACTTCCTTCTACACTCACCATCATATCAAATCTAAAACTTCTTGACGATGGTGAAGAGTCAATTGAATAAAAATTTACTTGGATATTATCCATCGTCTAGTAATAAAACGTAAAAACGTAAAACGACGTTTCGGAGATGGGGCTCTATCTCCGTCTTCAGGTTCCTACTCAGTTGGGCCCACTAGATAGAGCTAATCCCTATCTCCGGAGATAGTAAATTTTTATTCAATTGACTCACCATCATCCTTTAATTTACTTAATTTTAAACAATGCACCTGAGAATGTTTAGTTAAATAAACTGAGACCTTTGTTCCATTTTTACTGATTCCTATAGTGGGTTCTATTAGTTTGTCATTCAGTTATGGATGAGGTCTGAAATTAGTTAGTGTAGAAGGTTACTGTAGAGAAAATTAAAATCTGAGGGTTTTCTTCGTGCTTCGAAGTTACTAAAAACAACAATTGTGTTGTTTCTTGGTTCTAGGCAGGACTTCAACCAATAGGGAGAAATCCGACGTGTTTAACTGACCAGGTATGCGAGAAGCTGATTAGATTGAACGTTTGAAATATTTAATTGCATTTTATTATAGGTAACAGTCATTATATACATGCTACGATACTCAATGGACTAAATTATATCAATATGGAAGCTGATTGATTGAGCGAACTAACGCATGCACCTTTATTAATTACTTATTTACTTAAGTACGTATTTGTACAGGATCAGTTACAATACCAAATCAACAAATAATGCAAGATTTTAGGTTCTGTACTCAAGAATAAAACAGAGGTAATCATAAATGGCGTTAAGATATTTGGACGGAATGGGAAGGAAACGAATTATGGAAACAGGTACCTAAATTCGCTAGAACTTTATTAAGATTGAGTTTAGTTTCGGGACACGTTTATGGACTTAACTGCTTGAATCAGATGAGAACGGCATAATAACAATAATTATATAGCCCTGTGCATAGTTATTTTATTATTAATCTTAGTACAAACAGCAAACTATTAATCTCATATAATGCGTTAAAGCTATCAGTACACGAAATGAACGCTTAATGCTGAAATAGTATCTGTTTGCCGCTCTTAATTCCTACCCAAATTACTGATTCATTTTCTTCTAACGAAACTGGTATGTAGACCCTATATGAAGAGAAGTTTCTTTGTGTGTCGTTATTAACGGTCCCACAGATAATCAATTATCTTTTAATACATAATCGTTTTGTCCGATGCTTCACCGTCTCCTGTCTGACAGACGACCACAGACGGTTGTTATATAGTAACATAAAAGTGATATCATATTAATCGCTGTTCCGTTGGCTATCTAAGAGTTTCGTGAGAAACTTTCACTATACGAAGCCACTTCGATACAAAATGAAACATTTATCAAACAATAAATAGGTTGCAGTAATAAAAATAAGCTTTATTACTTAAGTAGTCATTTTAAGACATTTCAGGTCGAAAACATAAGCTTTTGTAAATTTAAATTTAATTTCATATCTTTATCTCATCCAGTTTTATTTACTGATTTCGATCATTTTTAAGACGTTCATTAGCTTCGTTTTCTAGACCGTATGTTCTTTTTGGCTGGACAGGACAGACATTTTTATTGACCATAAGATCTCAAAGGAATGTTGGAAACTGATCCAAAATGGATTAGGTTAGAATTTTGCAATCCCGTTAAAGGTAACAATTATGTAGGGTCTAACCGTACGCCATAATGCGATTCCTATTCGTCAGAGTGTACGCCAGAAGTCCGTACACACCGACCCAGTGTGGCTCTCAATTGCTATAATTACCTATACGGATTACCTGCTTTCAAGTGATCGTTAGTGTGGCAATGACGGGCTAATGATTACTAATGCATTGCATTCTCTGTACACTCTGTTACTGATCAAACTGGTCCACGTGAGCTGCACTGCATTTAACTTTAAATAATCACACAATTAATACAGTTACCACTCCTAATTGAATGTCAAAAGGGATCAAAAATAAATTCAACCCTGTCACTCTTGTGCTCTCCTTAAAGTCCCCTGTCGTCTGCTCGCCACACAGAACAACGTGGTGCATGCGCATTAGTCCCACTATAATATTACATTAATATGTAAGAATCAAGGTTCTCATGGTGGTGAAAATGTGGAAAAAACCTCAAATCTTACTTGGATGTTCTTCACTGGGTGTTAACGCCATGTGACTAACATTTTGGAGGAACTTATAATTTGTTGTTTTATGTAATACGGGTTTATTAACTAACTAACAAAGCATGGAAAAATATGGTCTATAGCAAATTGTCTCAGCCACCTTGATATTTTATTATATAGACTTATAATGATGTGACATTTAATTTTAAGATTAATAAAGTAAGAGTTTTGAAATTGTACAAGGCAACTTAAAATATCGCTGTTTATGACTGAAGTAAGACCTACGCCATATTAAAGTGTTGTAAAATTGTTTATAAGATGTATATAAGCTATAAGAAATCCGTCACTGGTATTACAAATGATGGAAAAGAGAATTAAGTAAACCAAAATATAATTCACTGTTTTCATATAACTTAATTGGAGATGCCTATATTGCCTTTTGCAGTAGGCGTAACTCAGTCCCTGCTAGTCCACCCTTGCGTGTATGATTGTGGCGTTAATAATTAAATATTCGAACAAGATTCACCACAGTTTGATGAATTCATAGTGGCTTGAATTGACTTTCTCGCTTCAGCGTTAGCTTCCTGAGGAAACATTAAATTACATTTGCATGGGGAATTGTTGAGCATACAGTTATTGTAGCAGAACAAGTTTTATTCTGCAATGTCGACGTCCGTATGTATGCCTGTCTGTTGTTTAGATAAAAAGCTACGTTGTGCAGTGCGTATATTAGAGAGGCGTACATAAATAACACGAAATATGAAAGGTTATTAAACAAGAAGTAAGAGAAACACTTCCTTATTAGACTTTTCAGCATCACTATTCAATTTGCTCTAGAGGAAACTTCTACATAAGTAGTAATCTTTATTGAAGTTTCTGATTCTTAAAGGGTTCGTTATCAGACAAAGCACCACAGGAAAATGTATCAACTTCATGGAGCAAAAACTGATAGCCGAACAACTACTCAACAAATTCCCTGACTTTTTATGGAAAACTAAAGTTTATTACCGTTTTTATGAACACCCGCCACTGTACTATACTCTGATTCAAATTAGTGTAGTCCACAACCTTCCACATTCGGTATATACATTTTAATATTATCCTCACATTTACATCCGTGTCTTTCGAGCGATTTCTTGAATTCGGTATTCCTACCAAAATCTGTATTAATCTATCAGCTTTGTCATGCGTGTACATGCCTCGGCCTTCATCCTACTTAATTTGATCATTCTAATAATATTTGGTGAAAAGCATAAATTATGAAGCTCGTCACAAGGGTAGACACAATTTTTCAATCCACTTGTCACTTTCTTTCTCTTCAGTTCGGGAGCCTCTTCATAGATTCCTTAATGTAAGAGACCAAGTCTTACGGACGTACAAAACAACAGGAAAATTTATTTATAGTCTTGTCACTTTCTCCCTCTTCAGTTCGGCAGTCTCTTCATAGACTCCTTAATGTGAGAGACCAAGTCTTATGGACGTAAAAAACAACAGGAAAATTTATTTATAGCTTTTTAACTACGCTTTTTCAGTAGCTCAGTATATACCTATAGCGTCGAATGAGATGATGAATTAGAAAGGAGGCAGTCGTGGCCTAATTTTCGGTATTATCCCGGCATTTTCATGGAGGGACTGAGGAAAACTACTAAAATATTATTGACGATAGCAAGTCTCCGGGCCGAGATTTGAACCCGGGACCTACTGAACAGGAACATTTAAGGTTTCTATAGCTTTAAGTCTCAAAGTTTTAAATAAGCTTAGTACACAACAAGACGAAAGATTCTGAACTGGCAGTAAGAATTCCCAGAATTTAATCTGCTCATAGTTCCTTTGTGAATGGAAGTTTTATTTGTTACTATAAATACAGAATATTTTAAATTTGCCACATTTTAACTGTGATTATACAGCAACTTCGTCTTGCATTATGACGCGACATATGTTGAAGTTTAGAATATGAGGTTATCACGGCGGTGAGTCTGAAGATGACTGCCTTTTGGGTTGTTGCGCCTTGTAAACTGGTAGAAGTTTAACGACATTTTTAGAGATCCTTACTGCTTCCATAATCTAGGCGATAATGATAGAGGCAGGAAGGACCCTGAAACGTCGGTAAATTTCTACCAGTTTACAAGGCGCAAAAACCCAGAAGACAGTCATCTTCTGTTAAAGAATTTTGTTTTTTATATATGCGTATTAGTTTTGTTTTGTCAACGTATTTAAGGATTTTATAACTGTATAGGTTAAGAATGATTATGACGATTAATCAGGGATCTATCAAATGTGATTCAGTGGTGCTTACTATGTAAGGTACTTAAAGTGGATAGGGTCATTGGAGAAAACTTGGTTATATTTCTGACACACTTATACTTCCACAGATTGTCAAAAGCAATCAGCAACATTAGGTTCCAAGCTGTGTTTAGTGAGACAGTTGCCAACTGCCCAGCGCTGCGTGTTATCAGACGCTATTTAAATGTCAGTAGAACAAAAGAGGAGCAATGTGCATATATCTTTTTATTGACATGATATTAATATTCATAAACAATAAATATAAATTTGCTTAGTGCTTAATCAAAAGAAAACTTTATGAATTTTCATGTAGAACAACTGGATTTTATGTCGTTCTATGTTAATTCTTCTTTTAACAGAAATAAAAAGGAATATACCTAGTGAAGGTTATATGACTAACGTTATTGATTTCAAGGTTTCTCACATTACAATCTAAAAATTGCACTGAGGAAATTACGAAACATGAACACCAGAAGAAAACTGATTTACTGTCAAAGATTATTCTGACAGACTCAAAGAATTAGTAAAGCTATTACATATTATAGACAAGCCTAAACGGATTTACAGTGCTGACGAAAGAGATGTAACTCTTTTGTTACTTTCACATCAAAGCGTAAAATAAATCCTAATATAACTATATTAAAAGTTCTGATTCCTTGATTCCTTGCTTTTATTAATACATCTGAATTTAAATATCTTTTATAAGGAACATTTTGTTGTCATTATTAACTGCACTGCGCAGATAAAATGGCCAAAAGTATATTTTCAACAAATTAGTTATTTTCAGACACTCATGATAAGAGACTAAAAGATAAATGTAAAAATATTATTTCACTGTATCTAAATTACTCAGATATCGTGATTGTTTCAAAAAGTTTTAATATTATGAAAAGCATAGAGAGTTTACCACTGCCATATCAACTTCAAGTACCTTATTCCATGGAGAAGTTTTGTTTCAGATATCTAGGTACGGATATTTTTATTATATCACCGATAACGTTTATAATTGAACGATTATTGAGTTATTTAACGGTGCTGTTTTAATTACAGAGTTTAAATATGATATATAATATAAAATGCATTATAAGTGGTAAGACATGAAAATTAATTTTGCTTGTGAAATGTCGTATAGCTACACAGAATGTTGACTAGCTTTGAAACAATAGATTAAATTTCTAATCAAGTTTATGAAATTTAATATAGGCGACGATATAATAATTGCACTTATAGGTCTATTGCCTTGTGTAAACTATTTATTTATTCCTATTTATTTTATTGAATAAGCTTATGTAAGTTGTCAGTCATTACGACCAAAAAACTATGCATTAATTAAATTCGAAGTCTAAAGTTACTTTATGAACAGTTGTATACTGCGCAGAGACGAAGACTGTCAAATAACAGAAAATCTTTACTACTCTAAAAGTCTTTCTACGACGGTTTAATACAGCCGGCTCTTGTTCGCGATACAGCCTTCACTTGTTTGTTTCTTCTAAATAAAGAGACACCCTCCCATACGACTACCCCGTCCATCACCTACAATTTAATTTCCGGCGTCACAAAAGCAGAACAGTTTGTTTAACGCATTCGCGACATGGCCGGAGTGTCAAATTGAATTATCTAATCCCCTGGGAGTCAGTCAGGGGGAGGGAAATTTTGTTCAGGATTCAGGCGCAGTTCCAATTAAAATTGACCTGCTCTTCTACCCCACCTCCGGTTCTATTAAACAAATTGGGAAACAAGGGAAGCCTGTAGCTACTCCAGGACTTGAAGCAGTACTCAATCCGAGTTTCCACCACTTGCCATTTAAAACGCGAGCGCTCTGTTCACAGTTACGTAAGCTTACTGCTTTCAAAATGGCGACTTAGAAATGGTTTAAAATAGCGCCCATTTATAATTTAGGCTAAATAATGTAGTTCGCTAATCTGAGCTATGGTGAACAAGGCGACAGAGTCTGACTGTAAATCGTGTTAAGATGAATCGACAGGCTTACTTATATCATAAAGTGTAAATAAACTCAGTCTGATCAATTGGCAAAAATAAGTTCTCATGATTAGCGTGTTGACATTAATGTAAACAGGTTAGACTTACAACTTTGAAACACTAGGAAACATAAATTTAAATTTAATTTCCATGTAAAATATACGTAGATCTTTTAATATCACTGTAAACTTAAGTCACTTATATCAGCTTTAATACATAAAAAAATTCATATAGGCTATTAATTCGATTTAACAGTCTTTCTTGAGTCGCTGATAGTCGCTCAAGTGGTTAAGGAATTCCACACTTTTTACTGAACCTGAAGGCTTTTATTTTGTGTCCACAAAATATCGCTGCCGGATTCTGTCCTGAGCCGGATTATTCCATTCCAAATTCTAACCTAACCTAACTTAAAATATTGCATGTAATTTGCATTTACACTTTCATGCTGATGCTCCGCCCATCTCATTGTCCTTAATTACACCACTCTTGTAATACTTAGCAAAGAACACAAATTATGAAGCAATCATATGCAGGCCTAATGTTCTTAATTCTTCTGTTAATTAGCTATAAATAGGCCCTCAGAATTATTTTCTTACACTCAACCTGCCGATGGGACAACAGGACATGGTTCATACCTAAGCCAATATAAAACAACAGACAAAAATATAGTTTTGAATATTTTAATAAGTGGGTTTTTGCAATCTATATAGGCAATGCGAAGAAAAATAATGTTATGAAATGATGGCAGTAAACATTCCCTGAAAATCAGCAAACCTTTCGTTGACGTTCTTTCTGATTTACCGCTGTTTAGTATTTAAACACTGTCACTTTCTTTTGGAATTTATCGACTGTCTTTTACCAAAGAACAGCACATCGCATAAGCCTATTAATTTCTCTCAGCGTTTGTTCCTAGATAAATTTCTCTCAAGGTTGCAATACAGTGATCTTCGTTATCGGTCGACTCTGAATCTTATGTTTCCCACATCTGTCAGTTAATCTTTAACACCATTGTTTCTGTATCAGTCGTCGGTTTCATTCATCCGCCGTTTTAATCACGTGACATTCGTAAATACGACTCACAAGATATGAAGTCTCACCGCGCGCTCCATTCTGCCATCTTTCCATTTGTTCGACAGGCCAGTTACTACACTGACTTGTTTTTGGCCTCCTAAAATATGATTACGATAAAATTAGTGGCAATGCCCGCGCAGTCAGTTAAGACTTGTAAGAGGCCAAGCGTAGTCACGACTTTGGGAACAATAATGAAAATTATTGCTGGTTTTGCAAATGGTAAACTAGCATGAATACCACATACAGCAGCAAGAAACATTGTAGTTGACAAAAAAAAAATAAGGATGTTCTGGCCAAGTAACTAGTCTGATTCGATCTTGTATGTTTACCTTTTTCAGTTACAATTTCGAATTTCACCTTAAACTGACCCCAACACAGGTCGTTCAAAGAAAGAAATGTCGAAACATAAAAAACGTTACATTTAAA